CCAACATCAGGCAGGCCACTTCTCTTCCTGTGTTCAAGTCTGCTAAAAACACATCTGTTTTCTCTGGCATTTCACACAGTGTGATTAGTATATTTTGTTCTGTGTTCCTATGTTTTTAATGCTTTTAATTTTTCAGTATTATCATTAGTGTGTTATTTTTTTCCATTAATTTACTCTCTTTGATGTTATTGTTAAGCACTTTGATAAAAGTTTTAAATGTGATTTATAAACAAAGTTGACTTGACTATTGTTGCCAGCAACAGTCACACAGACAACAAGAAACACTAGACCAGCCAAATGGCAACGTCTCCATCTTTATAAAGGTATCTGATGACACCTGCTGATGACTTGGATCAGGTATGTTCCATTAGTGGCACATGGCTGCTACGAATCATTTTAATTGCAATGGAAGCAGTGACAAACACACTGTTTCTGCAGTTTGGTCACATTTTTTGTGAAAACAATCTTGATACTGTGAAGTTTGGTAAGATTTAAAGAAGCAGACGTTCTGAAATGCCTGTATGACGAGTGTTTAAGGTGTACCTTCTGTATGATCACCGACCTGCCAGAGTGAGGTTGCTCTGCACTGTTCCCACACTGTTGCTGGCGTTCAGCATGATGTTCCCTGATAAACGACTCAGCGTGACCCTCAGCGTGTGATTGTTCAGCCAGGGGTAGCTTTGTGAGTCCAGGATGAGGAAGTCGGTGGTATTGGCCACCAGCTGCCCTGCCTGGTCGACAAATGTGATGGTGGCAGGGGGGTTGGATCGTACCAAGGCAAAAAGGACCAGGGAGAGTCCGGGGTCTGAGGTTTCGCTGTAGTGGGCATTAATCCTGAGGATTTCTGGCTGGACTGTGACACAGAGAGGAGAGGAGCAGCTGTACTGACTGACAACTGAAATGAGATGGATCTACTTACAGTCCCTGGAATCCGTCACCCAGACTCACACTGGACGTTGAGCATGACCGTGGCGTTGTAACTTTTCCCCGTTCTTGGGTTTGATGCGACACACACCAGTTCCCTGTCCCACTTTCTGGCGTGCAGGGAGAAGGTGCTGTTGCGACGTGTACCTGGTCTCAAGACCTCAGAATCTTTGCGGGACGTTGGCGCCAGACGTCCTCGGTTCTGGGGTCGCTCTTTCTGCTGCTCTCCGTTCAGGTACCAGGTCAGCAAAGGAGGGGCTCGGGGGTCCCAGCCATCCGACTGGCAGCTGAATCTGTGCGTCATGTTCTCCTGAAGAGTCACAGCTGCCTGGTGCCGCCCGTCAATTTTTGGAGCGGGCTCAATTTTACCTGCGTTTAATAACAGATGACATCACTGACAGGTATTTCATGAACCAAAGACAAGATGTTGAGATTGCCTTTACACGTTCTGTTAGATTGTATCGGTCGTGATGTGGGTCATTATTCAGAGTGAAAGAGGCCCTGAGAAAACTTGGACTTCAATATTACTTTTAGTAAGGTATGTGGTGATGTTTAACAAGATCAGTTTTCTGGCTGAATTTTAGTCCTTAAGCAAAACAAGCATCATGTTCAAATGTCCGGTGTTCACATTTATCCTACCTGTCCAGGACAAGGCCAGGGTGTTGAAGAACACAACGGCTGAGCCCGATGTCCAGGTTCTGAGGCCCACACTCTCCATGCTGACCAAAGCACCCACTCACAAGTGCACAACTACCTGCTTAGACAAGAAATTACCTCATTTATTCAATAAATATCTTAATATTGTGCATTTTAACTACAATCCTAATTCAGTAAATGTTGTGACGTTGTGCCAAATGTGCATAAAAACACAATTTAATGATAAGCATGTTTCACAAACCCATGTGTTATTAACAGAATGTAGTAAACACACGGAATGTTGAAATTAAGAAATTGTACTTTTAAAAAATAATAATGTAAAGTTGAATGATGGCAACACATCTCAAAACAGTGAGGCTGAATCTCTTAGATGTAAAGACGAGCAGATGTTTACCAGGCTGAGAAACACTGTAGCTAAAAATAGCAGAACAATTTCAGAATAATGTTGTTCGGCATACATTAGGAAGACTTTGAACATCCAATCATCTACAATTCATCACATCACCACAAGATTTCAACAATTTGGAGAAATCTCTGAGCTCAAAGGATGAGGCTGAACATCGATACTGGATGGTCGTGATGTTTGGGCCCTCAGGGGCCACTGCATTAAAAACTGTTTGGGTTCTTTTCTGGGCTCAGGAACACATACACAGATCCTTGTCTGTAAACACAGATCACAGTGCCATCCACAAATGCTGCTTAAAGCTCTATCAGGCAAAGAAGATTCAGAACCACTGCTGCTTACTCTGGACCACAGCTCATTTAAATTAAACTGAGGCAAAGTGGAGAACTGTTCTATGTTCTGATGAATGTACTAAACAGGAGAGGGATCACCAGGCGTGTTATCAGTGCACAGTTCATAACCCTGCCTCTCTGATGGTGCATTAGTTCCTGTGGCATAGGCAGCTTGCACATCTGGAAAGGCACCATCAATGCAGAAAAGTATATACATGTTTTAGAACATCTGCTCCAGTTCAGTGAAGACCTTGCATATTTCAGCAAGACAAAGCTAAACCACATTCTGCATCCATTCCAACAGATGCTGCATCGTCCTGCCTAAAGTCATAACTTCTTACCACTTCAAAACATTTGATGCATCAGGAAAATAAAACTCAACAAAGAAGACGCAGGACTGTTGAACAACAGCTAGAATCCTACATTGTTCCTTTTTGATAAATCCTCTATTTAGGGTCGGCTTGGGTTTCCTGAGCTGTCCCTTAGTTATGCTGCTATAGGCTTAGACAGCTAGAAGACAAAGTGACCACGTCTTTTCACTCTGCTACTGTCTTTACTTACTCTGCTCAACCTGTTCTGTATTTGTAATTATTTTTTCTATCCTTAACATGTGTTTTTGTCTTTCAGGTACACGTGCACCTACATTTGGACCTACCATTCTGTGTTCGTTTGTCTCTACTTTCTGTCCTCTCCAACCCAGCCGGTCAAAGCAGATGGCCGCTTGTCCTGAGCCTGGTTCTGCTGGAGGTTTCGTCCTGTTAAAAGGGAGTTTTCCTTTCCACTGTTGCCACTGTGCTTGCTCAGGATGGGAGACTGCAACGAAGTGATGATTCAACGAGTCTGCTGGTTTCCTTAGATAAAGAACTTTTACTAATTGGATTTTCTATGTATGTGAATGTTTCTGTTCAGTGCCTTGAGACAGCGTTGTTGTGTTAGTGCTTTATAAATAAACTGAATTGAACTGAATGGGACATTCACTCAGAAACTCCAACAAATGGTCTCTTGACTTCCTGGTTTACAGACTGTTGTTAAAAGCAGACGGGTTGCTTCACTGTTGTAAACATGGACCTGTCCCAACTTTTTTGAGATGTGTTGCTGCCATCTAACCCAAAATGACCCTTTTTCTAAATGGTACAATTTTAATCTCGAACATGTGGTATGTTTACCATGTTCTGCTGTGAACAAAATATGTTTATGAGATCTGCAAAACGACTGCATCTGTTTTTATTTACATTTAAAAAAAAACATACCAGCTCCTTTTTGTAAATCACAATACCTAACCAAGTCAGCAGTTCAGAGTCATACCTGGAGGCTCCACACATTTTACACAAGTTGAATTGTTTTAGGGTGAACAATCGGAGGAACCTGTGTCTGATAGATTTCCATTTCTGCTCAGGCAGTTTGGATAGTTGTGCATCAAAATACTTGAACTACATGAAGATCAAGATCTTAGTGAACAGATTCTATTTGGATTCATGCATCGAGGAACTTCAACAAAGGAAAAAAGCATATTGACATGGCTCTCACTGTTTAGTAATTCACTGGTTTTGTAGCTCCAATCTGCAGAGTAGGCCTTCATCACAATAAAAAACCCTGCTTGGACAAATGTGCACACAGAGTGAAAAGGAGGGGGCGATTAGTAGCTCACTCGCTCTGTGTGGGTCATGTGATCTGCGGGAGTACCTTGAAAGATAGCAGGAAATGAGGCATCAATATAGCAAATGTAAACTACACATTCATCAGATACAGAAAGTCCTCCATCACATGCATACGAGTGTTGCTGACAGCTGCACGAGGCTTTGTGCTGATAATCAGAGCAAAAAGATGTGTAGAGCAAAACTACTCGTCAACACAGACACTGCATGCAGACCTTTGTGCTGACATTTAGAAGAAGTGAAGCCTTCTACAATAAACACAGTGCTACCTCAGTCCTTGGTGCAGATTTGGTCCTGATTCAGCCTGCAGGAGCGCCATGGCAGAGAAGGAGGAGAGGAGGGAGAGTGGAAGAGGAGATGAGAGGCAGCCTTTCCCTGACTCACTTGTTCTCCCATCTGTGTCCACTCACACTCATACACACACTCATGTTGCTCTCTGCAGGACACGGCAGGCTCCAGCTGCAGCTTCCACGGGCTGGCTGACGCAGGCAGTTGTGGTGTCGCCTCTCTGAAGAGCTGAGGAGGGAGACTGAGAAAGATGGAAGGGATGCGAGCGAAGGAGTAGAAAGAAACAGTAGATTTTAAAGGGGTATGAGCAGCGAGAGAGAAAGAAGTGGGTAAGTGGTGTGGAGGAGAGCAGGGTGTTCACGTAGGTCAGAAGAGGACAGTAAGAGGTAAATTAAAAAAAAACATCAGCCAGTTCTGATAGATGACCGAACACAACCATCTGTTGTACTGTAATAAACCAATGATCTGGATAAACACTGTCTGAGCACAGTCAGTGAAGGCTGACAGTCCTCTGCAGTGCAGCTGTTCAGACAAGAGCAGCCGCACACAGAAACACAGAGCACTGACGCCAACAGGAAAACAACCGGAACACAACACGAAAAAAACAGGAACACTACAAGGAAACAGCAGGAACAAAACAAGCAAACAAGATGAACAAAACAAGAAAACAACAGGAAAATGACAAGAAAACAACAGGAAAATGACAAGAAAACAACAGGAACAAAACAAGAAAACAAGATGAACAAAACAAGAAAACAAAAGGAAAATTATAAGAAAAAAGTAACAACAAGTTAGTAACAAAAACACAACAGCAAAAAAATAGCAGGAACAAAACAAGAAAACAACAGGAATACAAAAAGAAAACAACAGGAACAAAAGAAGAAATTAACAGCAACAAAACAAGATAACAACAGGAACTAAACAAGAAAACAACAAGAACAAAACAAGAAAACAACTGGAACAAAACAAGATAACAACAGGAACTAAACAAGAAAACAACTGGAACAAAACAAGAAAACAACAGGAACTAAACAAGAAAACAACAGGAACTAAACAAGAAAAAACAAGAACACGACAAAAAAACAACAGGAACACAAGAAGAAAAACAACATGAACAAAACAAGAAAACAACAGTAAAAAGGAGAAAAAACAGGAACAAGACAAGAAAACACATGAACATGACAAGCAAACAACAGGAACACAACAAGAAAACAACAGGACCAGAACAAGAAAAAAACAGTAACACAACAAGCAAACAACATAAACAAAACAGGAAAATGACAAGAAAAAATAGGAAGACAAGAAGAAAGTAACAAGAACATGACAAGAAAACAGCAGGAAATAAAAATACAAGAAAACAACAGGAATACAAAAAGAAAACAACAGGAACAAAACAAGAAAACAACAAGAAAAAGGCAAGAAAAAATAGGAAGACGAAGAAAGTAACAAGAACATGACAAGAAAAAAGTAGGAACAAAACAAGAAACAAAACAATAAATTAACAGCAACAAAACAAGATAACAACAGGAACTAAACAAGAAAACAACAGGAACACAACAAGAAAACAACAGGAAAACAAAAATAATGCAACAAGAAGAAGACAAGAAAAACAAGGAACATAACAAGAAAACAACAGGAACATGACAAGAAAACAACGGGAACGTGACAAGAAAACAACAGGAACATGACAAGAAAACAACGGGAACATGACAAGAAGAAAACAAGAACATGACAAGAAAAAAGCAGGGTGAAAACAACAGGAACAAAACAAGAATCAACAGAAACAAAACAAGAAATTAACAGCAACAAAACAAGATAACAGGAACTAAACAAGAAAACAACAGGAACAAAACAAAAAAACAACTGGAACTAAACAAGAAAACGACAAGAACATGACAAGAAAACAACAGGAACACAACAAGAAAAACAACAGGAACAAAACAAGAAAACAACAGTAAAAAAGAGAAAACAACAGAAACAAGACAAGAAAACAACAAGAACATGACAAGCAAACAACAGTAACAAAACAAGAAAACAACAGGAACACGACAAGAAAACAACATGAACAAAACAAAAGGACCACAACAAGAAAACAACACGAACAAAACATGAAAACAACAACACAACAGGAACAAAATTAGAATACAACTAGAACACAACAGGAACACAACAAGAACACATACTGTACTCCTACATTGCTTTGGAGAAATTAAACAAAATGTTCAGTTTTGCTTGGTGCACTGTACAATTTTGAATGACAATAAAGTTTATATTTATTTCATTATATATTGGAATATTTTGGATTTTTACAAGCGGCAGCCCAATCTATGGTGGCCTTGGCCAAGCACTTGAACTAGGGCTGGGTGATATGGACCAAAATTAATATCTCAATATTTTTAAGATAAATCATGATATACGATATATATCTCAATATTATTTTTCTTTCCATAAAATAATAACAAAAGTATATTTCTGAGTCAAAGCCTTGTCCCAGTTGTCACACAGGCTGTAACTGTACAAAATAAATGTAAAAAAAATAAACTATTTACATATATTAATTAAAAATCCTCTTCAGCTGTGCCGCCTTCACTACGTTAGTATGTGTGAAGCATGTGAGGGGCTGTGTTTGTAGTCAATGAGGGAGGAGGAGGAGCTGCATGAAGTTGGCGGCGCAGATGGGCAGAAACAGAACTACACAAATTGTCAAGTGTTGCAGTGAGAGGTAGCGTGACATTAAAAAAGCAGCAGCTTATCATATTGCTAAAGACACGGTCCTTAGCGGCTAACAAGACAGCTAACTTTAGCCATCTTGTTCCACAGTTGAAACCGGGACAGTGTCTTTAGTGATATGATAAGCTGCTGATTTATTATAAGGCACAGCATGGCACAGACGGGACAAAAAGAAATACACAGATTTTCAAGTCTAATAATACTCAATGGTTTTGATAGAGCTATTTTAACTGTCATAATTGAAAAACTTATGATACATCAAGTATATTTGATACATCGCCCAGCCCTAACTTGAACACCAAGTTAACACTTAATTCGGCACCGGAGGAGGGGGCATGCCAAAGAGACCATCTTAGCACCAACATAACTGGTTTGTTCCACTTTGGAGTAAGCTGTTGGGGGAAGAATCAGTTTTATGTTGTGTGTTTCCTTGACTAATGAAGCGTTCCGGATGGAAGGTAAAATGTTACAGCACAAAAAAAAGAAACTGTCCAGATTACCTGACTGAAAATTGTTGGACTTAAGTCAATAACTATTTTAGAGAGCTTGGCACAATAAGAAGTAATCTGACCAACAGCTCTCCTTGTGTGAATAGAGCCCAGCTTCTCTCACACATCCTAACACGGCTAAGACAAAGTCCTGACCTTAATCCAATCCAAATGTTGTAGAAGTACCTGAAGTGAGCATGTAATGTGAGGAAACCCACCAACATCCCAGAGCTGAAGCTGTTCTGTACGGAGGAAGGGGCTAAAGTTCCTCCGAGGAACTGGTCACCAGAAACTTTTAGTTGCAGTTATTGCTGCACGGAAAAAAAAAAAAGGGGGGGGGGGGTCCACACCAGGTACTGAGAGCAAAGGTCCACATACTTTTTTCACTCACAAATATGTAATTTTGGATCATTTACCTCAATAAATAAATGACCAAGTATATTTGTCTCTTTTGTTTAACTAGGTTCTCTTCATCTACTTTTAGGACTTGTGTGAAAATCTGATGATGTGTTAGGTCATGTTTATGCAGAAACATAGAAAATCATAAAGGCTTTTGGGTTTTTCCCATAGCATTATAACATTTATCCTCCCATCAAATTTACTTGGGGAGGACCCACAGCCCCCCATCCTTTGCATGCAACATCTCCTAAGCTCTAGAAAATTGGGGAAAACATGGTACATTATCAAATCTACAATTAAAAATTAAATGCCTCAGGGATTATTCATAAACACTTCTGTGTCGTGAAACTACAATATTTAATTTTTTTCTGTTGCCCAGTCAGTGCCATAAACACATAATACATTTTAATTACAGAGAAAATCATAATACCGAAGACGAACAAATCATATAATGCTGTGCCTGTGCCCTCCATACACTTGAAATCATACCTGATATTCTTTTCACACTGATTTCAATCTTTCTGAGGATCCAGCGTCTCTTCTCTGGTTTCTTGTAGTCCAGCCACACAGTAGGATTCAGGTTTTCCTTCATCGGCCGTTTGTCCACAAAGTGAAATGAGCTCACAAACAACGTCTTGGGTGGACTCTTCAAGTTCACATTTTTCAGACACATTCTTCTTACTTCTTCATCTGTAGGTAGTCGATGGAAAACATACAACTTTTCACAGGAACACTGAAAACACTGTTGTTGTAGCCACTGATTTAGTATTGTCTGGTTGTTCGTGAAGCCGTGAACAGCACAGCAGGTGCTTGTAATCCTGTTGGACATTTTTAGTAAACTTTACATTTGTTAAATAAAACAAAAAAACAGCGTTTTCTCTGCTAAACTAACTCTGCAAATAACTTACTAATAAACCGCTGTCCGTGCTCCACCACCATATTACGGCTACTTCCGGTGTCAGACTGGAAGTTGAGCACATTCATTTCTACAGTAGAGGCACCAGGAATAAGGTGGACAGAGGACATTCTCTTCCCTCTTTCCTGGAAGGACATGTACAAAGTCCTGTCCTTGCACAGTTGGACTCTCAGCAGGAGCCGTCTTCCCTCCAGTTCCTACACCTCCTGTTGCCTCAGGGCCCCAGGAGGCCAAGGAGACAATGCCCACTGCCTCCCCGCCTTCAAGACTGTGTTGTTCCCTTGAGGATGAGGAACTTTTAGGGGGTGGAGCAGTGTAATGATCTTTTATTAAGTTATTGTTACATGTTAATTATTCCTTTTGCACTGTACTGTTTTTTATGTACAGCTTGTGCTGCAAGGGTTGTTGGGAAATGAGTATGGGGTGTGGTTTTGTTTCTTCACCCGTGATGATTCTGAAGGTACAGTTGCATTCGGGCCTAAAAAAATCCGACCTGACCCGGCCTCAGCCCGTAGCCATTTTTTCCGAACACGATCTGATCA